ACTTTTATCCCAAGAAATACATATGACGGAGAATTATAACCATGGAGGCGCGACAATAGGTTAGTACGATTTAAATAGACAATAACGAGAACCGGCAAATTACACATATATTGCACGAAATATATATGATGAAATATTAATCAAATGCGAGTAACAGTAAGTCTTTACGTCTATTATTACAACAAACGCAGAATTACTGAAAATTATTATTTGGCATAAGTTGATTTGATCAGGTCTACAATCACATCACGGCCGACAAATTCGCTGTAAAAGAATTCAAAGTTACGTTGGATTATTTGATTTAAGCAGCGTGGTCCCAACATGGCCGCCACGGCATAAGGAAATAGCCGCTCAAACGCGCACAAATTCAACCTTGCATATTTTATGGAATCAAGATAATTAACTTATTCTATTTCTTACGTTAATCATCATAAAGATTTGTAAATTCGGTTTCTGAAATGCGATGAAAGTTTGTTAGTGACAACCGCGTCGATCTTCTTTTGTACTAATATTTGTAAACGCGATAAGTTAATAAAATCCCTATTTTGTTTGAGCAACAATTAACTTCATTTCATTGATATATTAATAGAATCTTCAGGAAACAGAACACGCATTTTCATATTAAAAACTTCCCTTTATTTAGTCATGATTTAATTCATCTGGATTGTGCGGTAGTCAGGCAAAAATTAAACCCAGATTTAGCCCCACAATTCCAGACCGTAATTGTTTAGGTGAAACATGCCTCTTAATCCAGTAGAGTTTCAACAAACACGATTTATAGATTTTTTTTAGCGTTTTTGTTCTGATTTGCTGTGTAAATCATCGAAATTCTTCCCAAAAATACAGTACGAAACCTAGGCTTACACCCTTATGCAATTTTGACGTCGGGAAGTACAAGTTCCGTCATTCGTCAAGCAATCAGATGTGACGGAGAACAGCAGTATTACAGCGTTAAAAAGCGAAGGAATTATCCATTCCAAAAAAGAATTGTTTCGAAAGTCAGTAGCTGGCTGAATCTGAAATTTTACTGAATATTTTCGGCAACTTGGGAGGATGGTAGTTTGGAATGGCCGACCATTGAACGTGCAAATAAGTGTGCTTTACAGCTTGTTTCGAGACGACGATTCTATGGAGCGAAACAAATGGTTTCGTGTTATCACCTTCACATTATTTAACTGCTATGTATTCTGAAGTGCATAACGAAATAAATACGAAGCAGAAAATTCGTACGAAATTATACTCTCTGACAACATTTTGTGAGCAACTAGGGGAGACCTTCAACCGCAGGCCCCACCTCGCTGCCTTTTCTCCCCCTCCGACCTCCTGCCTCATGTAACCCGGGATTCAGAAATTTTGGATCGTGACAGTACAGTACAATATTTATTGGGAGTATTCTATCCTGATTAAGTATTCGAATCTGCCTCATACTGCTACACACAGCTCAAAAAGTAAGTTAATACTACTGTAACGCGTAGCAACGAGTAACCATCATCATGATAAAAGAAAACATGTAGAGATTCTCTTTCATATTTTAAATATTTATATAACGGACAAAGACTTCAAGATGTTTAATATATAAAAAAATAGTGGTTCGTTTTCGAAGTAATTATCGTTGTTGTTACGATTGTTGCTGTCAGTAATAGTATTGTACTTAATATTAATATTGATATTATTGATACCACTGATAATCATTACTACTATTGTTATCATTACTTTTATCATTTCATTATTTTATTTTACTACTACTATGATAATTATCATCAATATTACTATCATCATTATCATATTTAATATCATCTTTACTATTTTGCTGTATTATTATCATTACTATAATAAAAATAGTAATAATAATTATTATCATCATCATAAATTTGATTATTGTTACTATAATTATTATTAATCATTATTACTATTATCATTAATATCATAATCATAATAATAATTATTTTTTTTATAATCATGATCACCATCATTATCATTATTATTGTTATTATCATCATACTTCTTAATAGTGTTATTATTATCGTTGTTATTATCATCATTCTTCTTAATAGTGTTATCATTATTATTGTTGTTATTATCATTATTATTATCACCATCGTCATTGTCATTGCTATTGTCATCATCATTATTCTTATCGGGTACAAGCCCCGAACTCCCAAGAGCGGATTATTCTTTATTACTTAATTCCGCCAGTACCTCCAACTGCATACTGTCCCGTTATCTATTTCTATCATCAGTATTTGTTAATGTATATTGATATTAAAAAATCCATCTATTTATAATATCGTTTGCTAGTTATGCCATCATTTCTCCATTTTCTATCTTATAATTTCTGAACATTGAAAATTTATTGATTGTAATTGGTAAACACAAAACAAATATTGCTGCTGGACAATTCTCAAGTTTTAAATGTATGCATTATCATCTTCATTATTAAGACCGACAGTAGAGGGATGTAAAGGGAAATAAGGAAACTCAGTGGTAAAAAAAATGACTGCTAGAGAACAGATTCCACCACACTCGATAATTGTTATCCCCTTGAAACATTTTCCCTCCCCACAGGTGCAGCCGAGACCCTGTCAAAGTGGTATCTGAGATGGTTCTTCATAACGCTGACGCTTCTTGTTGTGTTCACAGCCCTCTCATGCTGGTACAAAGTCTGTGTACTTCTGGAAGATCATGGCAAGTTCAATATATCGGAATGCACTGGGCAAAGCTTTCATGGGTGATTGTTATACATGTGTGCATATAATATATATATATATATATATATATTATATATATATATATATATATATATATATATATATATATATATATATATATATATATATATATATATATATAGAGAGAGAGAGAGAGAGAGAGAGAGAGATTTGTGTGTGTGTTTGTCTTTGTGTCTTTGTTTGTATATATATATATATATACGCACACACACACACACACACACACACACACACACACACACACCACACATATATATATAATATATATATATATATATATATATATATATATATGCGGGCGGGTGGGCGCGCGTGCATTTGTGTGTGTGTACTTCCACATGCAAATGTATACATATACACATACATATCGATAGACACACACACATACATATATGTATATATACACACAAACATTCAAACACATACAAAGACACACATACACAAACACACACACGAACGCAAATACACAAATGTTTATGTTTTTGTGCGTAGACATATGTATGTATACACATAGTTTATATAATATATATATATATATATATATATATATATATATATATATATATATCATCATCGGGGAGCTAACGCCGATGGGGGCGAAAAGCCGCACCCTCCTTTCATTTCCACGTACGAAGACCCCAGGCAGGGACTCGGCTTATCTCCAGCTCCTCACGACAGGTTTGATTGATCTGTCTGTCACAACTTCCTAGGTCGTCCTACAAGCCCCCTCCACCCAGGGTTGTCATGTACAGAGACAACCTGGTGGGCAGGATCACCCTGTGGGAAGCGAGCCAGCTGGCCATATAACCTAAGTTGGTGATCAAGAATAGTGCAAGTAACAGGTTTTGTGCCAGTTTCACGGTGTAACTGTTGGTTGGACACGTGATCTCGCCAACAGTACCGCAGTGCAAGGACCTATTGCACAAGGCATCAAGATGAGACTCCAAGGCACAGAATAATGTCCAGGTTTCACTACCGTATAGTAAAACTGGCATTATCAGGGCTTTGAAAATGCGTAGCTTGGTCCCTCTGCATCTCCAAGTACTCTTATCAAGAGAGTTCATGGAAAATCCATCTGTTGACTTCCTGGTCTGACAGCCCTGAGTTCTGTGACTTCAATGTCCTCACCACAAGCACGTACCGAACAAACAGGTTATATCGTCCCCAAAGACCTGGATCTTGGTCTTGGTCCAGGAGACTTCTAGACCTAAAGGCATCACTTCATTATTAAATGCATCCAGAGCCACCACTAAGGTTTCCAGAGACTCAGATAGAATAAATAGCAACATCAGCAAAGTCAAGGTCAGTAACCTTGATATTGCCAAGAGTTGCTCCCCAATGGCTTTGGACAGGAGTGAATCCAGATTGCTCTGGCCTCTGGTGCCTCAGCAGGTGGTCTCTGATACGTCTTAGAAGGATGTAGGCAAGAACCTTGGTATACTGATCAGTGATTGCTGCAATCCCGTCGATCCCCCTTCCCCTTCCAGAGGGGGATGACCCCACCCCTCAACAGGTCAAGAGGAAGATTACCGGACTGCCAGATGGCAGCCAGGACAGCATGCAACTCCTGTGCCATAGGTTCACCACCAACTCACAGATACCCGAATTTTTACCACTCTTCACCGTCCTTGGGAGGGTAGGGTAGATCCTCACTGATGGTTGGGTCCGGTAACGGAATCTCGGCACTACCCACATCCAAGTTAACTGTTGGTGGATCAACCTAGTACAACTGCAGTCTTCTGTAAAGAGGGCTTGGAGGTCAGCTTTCTCAGTGCTTGGTAAGCTGGATGAAGGTCATTTACTAGGAGATGGCCTTCAACCTCCTCTGCAAGATTCCTAATTAACTGTTCCTTGTCCCTTCTCAACAGTGACCGAGTTCTGCACACCTGAGAACGGTGCAAATCCCGATCCCATGTCAGGCGAGCCGCCTGACAAGCATCTGTAGTTTCCATTTTCTCCTGTGAGATGAAATTCTGTCTTGCTCTTGGGCGGTCACCAACCGATTCTTGAGCTGCATCTAGTGTTCTGTGCTTGAAGGTATCCCACAGAAGTACAGGGTCAGATTGTCGAACGCTGTGGAACGACAAGAAATTGCCTCAACAAACCCCCAGGCACACTCCCTTTCCCTCAGCCTTTCCAAATGAAACGCCTATGGGTGGTCATTGGACTGCTGGGGAGTTTTGAAGTGGACCCGGAGGGTAGCCACAACTAATCTGTGGTCAGTACTACAGAACTAGGCACTCCTATACACCCTGCAGTTCTGGAGGATCCTCCGAGTCCTCGGGCGTGAACACAACCGCCATCATGTCGGGAGGATTAAGTGTTATGGCTTTGGAAGAGAATGATGTGACGCGGTTCCTGGCCGCGTCCACTCATCTCGGATCCAGCAACATGAACTTCCAAATGGAACAGTATGTTTTCAAGCGCCGCCAAGATGGTGTGCACATCATTCATCTGCTAAGGACATATGAGATCTTGCTGGCTGCCCGTGCCATTGCAGCCATTGAGAACCCAACAGATGTGTACATCTCTTCCCGCCCCATGGGCCAGCGTGCTGTGCTGAAGTTTGCCCGTTATACTGGTGCAACCCCCATTACAAGCCGCTTCACCCCAGGAGCCCTCACCAATCAGATTCAGGCTGCTCTCCGTGAGCCTCGTCTGCTTGTGGTGACTGATCCCATCTCAGACAGGCAGCCAATCACTGAGGCTTCCTATGTCAGCATTCCTGTACTTGCTTTCTGCAATACTGACTCCTCACTTCGCTATGTTGGCCCGTGAGGTTCTGCGTGGAACCATCTCCTGCAACCTGCCATGAGAGACAGACGTCATGCCTGATCTGTTCTACAGGGATGCTGAAGAGCAAGAGAGCGAGGGTGCGGCTTTTCGCCCCCATCGGCGTTAGCTCCCCGATGATGATGATATATATATATATATATATATATATATATATATATATATATATATATATATATATATATAAACTATGTGTATACATACATATGTCTACGCACAAAAACATAAACATTTGTGTATTTGCGTTCGTGTGTGTGTTTGTGTATGTGTGTCTTTGTATGTGTTTGAATGTTTGTGTGTATATATATATGTATGTGTGTGTGTCTATCGATATGTATGTGTATATGTATACATTTGCATGTGGAAGTACACACACACAAATGCGCGCGCGCCCACCCGCACGCATATATATATATATATATATATATATATATATATATATATATATATAATATGTGTGTGTGTGTGTGTGTGTGTGTGTGTGTGTGTGTTTTGTGTGTGCGTATTATATATATATATATATATATATATATATATATATATATATATATATATATATATATATACAAACAATCAAAGACACAAAGACAAACACACACACACAAATCTCTCTCTCTCTCTCTCTCTCTCTCTCTCTCTCTCTCTCTCTATATATATATTATATATATATATATATATATATATATATATATATATATATATATATATATATATATATATATATATATATTATATGCACACATGTATAAACAATCACCCATGAAAGCTTTGCCCAGTGCATTCCGATATATTGAACTTGCCATGATCTTCCAGAAGTACACAGACTTTGTACCAGCATGAGAGGGCTGTAAACACAACAAGCAGCGTCAGCGTTATGAAGAACCATCTCAGATACCACTTTGACAGGGTCTCGGCTGCACCTGTGGGGAGGGAAAATGTTTCAAGGGGATAACAATTATCGAGTGTGGTGGAATCTGTTCTCTAGCAGTCAATTTTTTTTACCACTGAGTTTCCTTATTTCCCTTTGCATCCCTCTACTGTCGGTCTTAATAATGAAGATGATAATGCATACATTTAAAACTTGAGAATTGTCCAGCAGCAATATTTGTTTTGTGTTTACCAATTACAATCAATAAATTTTCAATGTTCAGAAATTATAAGATAGAAAATGGAGAAATGATGGCATAACTAGCAAACGATATTATAAATAGATGGATTTTTTAATATCAATATACATTAACAAATACTGATGATAGAAATAGATAACGGGACAGTATGCAGTTGGAGGTACTGGCGGAATTAAGTAATAAAGAATAATCCGCTCTTGGGAGTTTGGGGCTTGTACCCGATAAGAATAATGATGATGACAATAGCAATGACAATGACGATGGTGATAATAATAATGATAATAACAAAAATAATAATGGTAACACTATTAAGAAGAATGATGATAATAACAACGATAATAATAACACTATTAAGAAGTATGATGATAATAACAATAATAATGATAATGATGGTGATCATGATTATAAAAAAATAATTATTATTATGATTATGATATTAATGATAATAGTAATAATGATTAATAATAATTATAGTAACAATAATCAAATTTATGATGATGATAATAATTATTATTACTATTTTTATTATAGTAATGATAATAATACAGCAAAATAGTAAAGATGATATTAAATATGATAATGATGATAGTAATATTGATGATAATTATCATAGTAGTAGTAAAATAAAATAATGAAATGATAAAAGTAATGATAACAATAGTAGTAATGATTATCAGTGGTATCAATAATATCAATATTAATATTAAGTACAATACTATTACTGACAGCAACAATCGTAACAACAACGATAATTACTTCGAAAACGAACCACTATTTTTTTATATATTAAACATCTTGAAGTCTTTGTCCGTTATATAAAATATTAAAATATGAAAGAATCTCTACATGTTTTCTTTTATCATGATGATGGTTACTCGTTGCTACGCGTTACAATAGTATTAACTTACTTTTTGAGCTGTGTGTAGCAGTATGAGGCAGATTCGAATACTTAATCAGGATAGAATACTCCCAATAAATATTGTACTGTACTGTCACGATCCAAAGTTTCTGAACCCCGGGTTACATGAGGCAGGAGGTCGGAGGGGGAGAAAAGGCAGCGAGGTGGGGCCTGCGGTTGAAGGTCTCCCCTAGTTGCTCACAAAATGTTGTCAGAGAGTATAATTTCGTACGAATTTTCTGCTTCGTATTTATTTCGTTATGCACTTCAGAATACATAGCAGTTAAATAATGTGAAGGTGATAACACGAAACCATTTGTTTCGCTCCATAGAATCGTCGTCTCGAAACAAGCTGTAAAGCACACTTATTTGCACGTTCAATGGTCGGCCATTCCAAACTACCATCCTCCAAGTTGCCGAAAATATTCAGTAAAATTTCAGATTCAGCCAGCTACTGACTTTCGAAACAATTCTTTTTTGGAATGGATAATTCCTTCGCTTTTTAACGCTGTAATACTGCTGTTCTCCGTCACATCTGATTGCTTGACGAATGACGGAACTTGTACTTCCCGACGTCAAAATTGCATAAGGGTGTAAGCCTAGGTTTCGTACTGTATTTTTGGGAAGAATTTCGATGATTTACACAGCAAATCAGAAAAAAAAACGCTAAAAAAAATCTATAAATCGTGTTTGTTGAAACTCTACTGGATTAAGAGGCATGTTTCACCTAAACAATTACGGTCTGGAATTGTGGGGCTAAATCTGGGTTTAATTTTTGCCTGACTACCGCACAATCCAGATGAATTAAATCATGACTAAATAAAGGGAAGTTTTTAATATGAAAATGCGTGTTCTGTTTCCTGAAGATTCTATTAATATATCAATGAAATGAAGTTAATTGTTGCTCAAACAAAATAGGGATTTTATTAACTTATCGCGTTTTACAAATATTAGTACAAAAGAAGATCGACGCGGTTGTCACTAACAAACTTTCATCGCATTTCAGAAACCGAATTTACAAATCTTTATGATGATTAACGTAAGAAATAGAATAAGTTAATTATCTTGATTCCATAAAATATGCAAGGTTGAATTTGTGCGCGTTTGAGCGGCTATTTCCTTATGCCGTGGCGGCCATGTTGGGGCCACGCTGCTTAAATCAAATAATCCAACGTAACTTTGAATTCTTTTACAGCGAATTTGTCGGCCGTGATGTGATTGTAGACCTGATCAAATCAACTTATGCCAAATAATAATTTTCAGTAATTCTGCGTTTGTTGTAATAATGACGTAAAGACTTACTGTTACTCGCATTTGATTAATATTTCATCATATATATTTCGTGCAATATATGTGTAATTTGCCGGTTCTCGTTATTGTCTATTTAAATCGTACTAACCTATTGTCGCGCCTCCATGGTTATAATTCTCCGTCATATGTATTTCTTGGATAAAAGTATTTTGCAAATTCAGAAAATTTCAGCCGACTTTCAATACATCAATAATTCACACAGATACCTCCTTACACCGTGGGCAGACACACACTGAACGTTGTTTGTGGCCGAGTACACAGAATTCCAAAAAAAAAAAAAAAAAAAAAAAAAAAAAAAAAAAAAAAAAAAATATATATATATATATATATATAATATATATATATATATATATATATATATATATATATATATATTATATATTTAGATCGGTCAGAAACATATAACGTCATATACTAGGGTTTTCATTGGCTAGAATTTGTGGAGCTTTGTTGCAGGTATAATTTGGTGATTTGTATAGAACTGCTTGTTATAACTGGTGCCCATTTCTTAATAATTCAAATATGAGGCATTTATTATCGTCAGTTCAGGTGCTATGTGGTGTACCTTGCACGAAACATTTTAACACGTTAAGATATCAATTTCAAAAGCACTGAGATAAATAGAAGTGAGTTCCATTAGATTTTCTTCTAAATCGTATTATTTTCATGAACGTTGATGGACAGTCCTGGGTGTGGCCCTGGTTAAAACAATCAAGTAAAGACAGCTCATGATCACGGTTGAAAAGTAGACAGCAGATGGATTGGTCCTTACTTACAAAATTGGCATTAATTGGAGATCCTAGTAATCTAATCTAAGTGTAGATTGTGTAGTCAACTTTCACGAGTAATGGGGTATGATTATGATTATATCCTGTATAGAATTTACATTTTTCAAAATAAACTATGGCTGTCACAGGTGGTTGCCGATTTTGTCCTTCTTTCCAGCAAGCACACTTTTGTATCATTGCGAATTATACCTTGATACTACCACGTTACCACTCTACTGAATGAAATGAGCGGCTTCGTTCGATGCCTAGTTCACGGTCCCTTCTATCTTTAGTTACATGTGTGATTAATTTCACAGTGAATCATATGATCAGAGTCAGACGAGTAAGTACATTTTTAAAAATCTGTCATTTGTTTGACTAGAACCACCAAAAAAGACACATTTCCCAACCTTTTTGAACTTCAATAACACTCAGGAGTGGAGTACGCAAGCCTTGTGTATATGTTTAGGCGACACCGAATTTTCTCCCACATTTCGCTTACTGGACGTTGCTATAATTATGATTATGCTACAATTCGACACTAATCCTTGCTATAATTGTGTCATGAAACTATATACACAAGCTAATTTGGTGGAAATTCTTACGATATGGTGCGTTGTGAAAACATTTTGTAAACAGATTGGTAAGACTCACCCCTGCGCCCTTCTCATGTAAACCTGTCACGCAGACTAGTGCGAGGGGTGGGGGGAGGGAGGGGTTCAGGTTGTAGCGGCCGTATAAGAAAGAAAAAACTCTCGCAAGATAGGAAAATAGCTCACTGCCACCACCCATTTAATACGTATGGGAACGTTAGTGTAATGGTTGTGAGGTGATAGTGTAAAGGAAGAGTGTAAGGAACGGAAAGATAGGGGTGTATGTGTGTGTGTGTGAGAGAGAGGGAGAAAGGTGTGTACATGTAGTGTGTGAGAGTACGGTAGACGTGTCCTTTAAGCCGAGAGGAGACGTGTGCGGGGGAAGATCTCCCGGACGCAGATTGGTCCCGCGATGCTTATGCGCATTATGATACTGGTCTAGTCATTCCTTCCTTTTACAATCCTTGTCTTACTCATTGACTACAGTAATGCGAGGGGTCTCTAAACAATCTTAAAATATTATTAATTTATTAAAACTCAAAAACATAAGAACATTAAGAAATAAAACTAAAACGGACTTGAACATAAAGCAGACGAACTTGAACATAAAACACTAAGGTAAAACTAGAACACGGACATAAAACACTAAAAATGAACGAAAACACAAACGTAAAACACACAACACAAACGTAAAACACACTAAAACACAAACGTAAAACACAAACACTGGTAAAACAAGAAAAAAATAAAAACACTTAAACGCAAGGACACATTAAAATACTTATGAGGCACGGTCTCATCAAATCACTGTGCTTTACTAAAAAAAATCACCAATGTCTCCTGATACCTTAATTGCTAATTCTCACGACCACTTAGCTCTTAAGGAGGCCCATTCCGGGGTTCCTCACAACGTCTGGTTCCTTCTGTGACCCAAGGAGCAATCCCCCTATTCTTGCCTCTTCTGTTTCTTTTTGACTCTGTGGCGCGAAAGAGTAATTGAGGAGTTGAATCTCTGAAGTTATTAATATCTTTAAAAACACCATTAGAAAACTAAAATCAATAAAATAAATACTTAAAAGAATCACAAAAGAACTATAATAATAAATAGTGAATTAATTAAAAGATAAAACGCGTGATTCTTCCTTTCCTCATTCACTTTTTCGGCCAATTCTTTTATGTATATTGGTTCCTTGCATTTAGGTGTGGAATAATAAAACGCATTTAAAAAGAATGTTTAAAAGAAAATAAAACAGACAAAAATAAAACAATAAAAGAAAGGAGGAGGAGTGGTGGCCGCGCTTTCCTTCCCTTGTGCCCCGTTTTCTATGCAGGTGGGTAGCCTCGGGGCGAATTCGCGGCATCCTCACCCCGCGGAGATAAAAACACTGCTAGTTATTGCCCTTCGATATTTTTTCAGATTTCCTTTGTGCCTGCGGGAGAGTGAGAGTGAGAGGGTTTTTTGATGACTTATTTACGTCGTGGTCACGGCGAAAACACGTGATTCACGACACAGGAACTTTCGATCATGACAGTACAGTACATAGATACCTACATTTTCTGTCCTTGTGTTACCAGTAACTATATATATATATATATATATATATAATATATATATATATATATATTATAATATAATATATATATATATATATATATATATATATATATATATATATATATATATATATATATATATATATATATATTATATATATATAATATATATATTATATATATATTATATATATATATTATATATATATTATATATATATATTTATATATTGTATATTATTATATATAATCTAGACCAAACCAGTGCTTATTTAAGCTAGAGTTTACTATGTCAGTTTGTTGAAGTGTTTCAAAATTCCTCCTTAACCCAGATTTTTAACTGTAAAAACATTCCATAAACCTGACTTACCTAACATCACTATGACAGCCGTTTCGACAGATACCCTGCTAAGGACTCACTAGTAATCACCAGGAATTGTAGAGATAAAGCCAAGTGTTCACAAACGCAGGTGTGCCAATACACCAAGCTAGCAGATGTCGGCGGTGACAACTTCGTTAACAATGTGTGAAACTAATTGTTTCCTAGTCTTTCGGTGTTTATGTTGCTGTTATTTTTATCTATTATTTGTATTATTGATACCATTATGACTTCTTTATTAATGCTGTTGTTTTCATTATCATCATTATCATTATCACTGTTTTGTTTACGTTGTTCTGTGCGCTGTTATTATTATCATGTTTTACTATCAGCATTATTACCGCTAACAC